TTCTACTGTGTGGAGACTTTTGAAGAGGAATAGGTATCATCCAAACAAAATTAAAATGGTATACCAATTGAATGAAAATGACCCTGATCGAAGAACAGAATTCGGTGAAATCATGTTCACATACAAAATTGCCGTTATTGGAGTGACACCAACCCTCACGTTTTCCGGTAAACACATACACAATATCCAGAAAAAATTGACGTTTGGGCAGGAATATTGGGAAACCATATTGTAGGACACCTCTATTTATTGATCAAACTTCAACAGGGGAACTGTATCTGAATGTGCTGGAAACTACTGTTGATCCTCTCATCACTGAAATCGTTGAAGCGAATCCTAATGAATTCGATATGGATATTGTATTCCAACAAGATGGAGCACCACCACATTACTCCAGACAAGTAAGAAACTATTTGGATACTACTTTTCTCGGTCGTTGGATTGGCCGTCGAGGTCCTACAGAATGGCCAGCCCGCTCGCCAGAGTTGACACCTTTGTACTTGTTTTACCTGCTTCAATATTGGATATACGGCAGAGAATAATGAATATTTGTGGAGACATTGACGTTACTGTGTTCGAAAATGTTCGGCGTGAAGAATCGGATAGGCTGTTTATATATCAAGAAGTTCAAGGCAACCATTTTGAGCATCTTCTCTACTGACTTCGAGCTCATTACCTCATATTATGTAGTTATATGTCAATGCATTCAGGCAATTATTAAAAGTTCCACCATTTTGTAGTAGTTGAAGATATTGACATTAATTTCATTATCCCAAATCTCAAGTTTAGAGTTGACCCGTTCAAAAAATAAAAGGGGGGACATTAAAGAAATGCACTGTATACTCTAACGAGAGATATCATTCACAAATAAATCTTTTTCTGAATATAACTGATAAGAGCCATAGAAGAAGTATAGTATTCTATCCGCGAAAAATAGTCGCTTGAATGATTTACGACGCACTGCATTCTCACATTTGGCGCTCGTTGAATTTTGTCTCATTTTCATTACTCCCCAAACCTCACTCTACAACTTTCTCCAAGTTCATCGAAGGAGCTCCTGTTCTAATAAAATAACCAAAATTATTACATTACTTCCGAAGCGAATCATCTAGAATGGGTCTCCTGTTACTGAGAATCGAGAAAATACACCAAGATTTGTCAGGATATCTGCACCATGGAATACCTGGATTAATAATTTATAGCCCATTATATAGATCCCGGGGTGGAACAGGAGATGAAACTTCCCAACTTACCGGATACACGAGATACGAAAGGTCGAAAGTCCAGACTATTTATCACACTGAAACAGAACTCGGTGCATTTATCCTTATCTGTTTTCAGTTAGAAAAGGTGGTCAAGGAGAGGAATTACATTATTTGAGAACTTTTAGCCTTCCAGAGCTAACGAACGTGGCATATTTTCATGTGAGTTATTGAAAACTCCAGAAGTTTACAAACACACTGGATTATTCATATATTATCCTGATAAGGGCAAATCGATCCTGTCCAGTTACTTTTCTATCTGATGAAAATATTCTGCAGAGTTTCTGTTGAAGGTGTTTTTCTAGTATCGTGATATACCGGGTGCCCCACATTTTATGTGACAGGCAATATCTGGTTTGTTGAAGGAGATACACAAAAATGTTTCATTACAAAAGTTTTAGGAGTTCATGAGAGCTATATTTTGATATAATTTTTAAATATACAGGGTGTTTGGTGTAGGTGCTACAGACCAAAATTCCACTTTTTAAAATAGAACGCCCTGTATATCATTACATATTCAGATGCTACGTTAAATTCTGATATCATTTCATGTTTGGTTTTTGAAATTCGGTTACGGCGTTGTTGAGTTATTGC